AGTGAAAAAAAACACAATAGCTTTGTGAACGTCTTTCATATGAAAGTATGGCACCATCATGATTTAAAATTTATCAGCATTCTGTGGCCAAAAATCAAGCACATAATTACAGATATGATACATTTGATATTCCAGAGATTGGGAAAAACATATGTATCTGATGCTATTAGTATGCATGACACATCCTTACTAAAAGCTTTCGTATTCTCAACTTCATCTCACAAACTGCTGTGCTAAGTCCAGAGCAAAAACAATTGCTTCCCTTCTTCATATAAGCCTAAATGCTTGCTAACACACTAATTGCTTTAGAAATGAAACGTCCTGTGACAGAACAGCTGAGTTACTACTTAGAACTTCAACTAACTTCAGAAGTTTACACCATGACAGTTTATAAAATTAATATTGAAGTATAATATCAAATGTAACTGAAATTGCATATTCCATCCCCCATCCTATTGGGGGGGGGAAGGGCACAACAGACAGGGCATCACTTAAAAAAAAAAGGTATCTGTGAAGATTTTATCCACACTGCATAACAAATTCATGACATTTGAGAAACAAATAATTCGAGTTAATGCTCACAATGTAAGTGTTCTGAGCATGATCCTGTAATTAGACCACTTGCAGCTACTCTATGCCACAATCTACCCAGAAAATTGCTTACCACGCTTTGCAATGAACTATGAAGACATTACACTTTTAGAAACTGTAGGTCCACAGTAGGTTAAATTCTGCACTGAAATGTCTTAATGGTGTCATAAAGAGCTTTCTTGACTGCTGCAGTCTAAAACGCACCGAGAACCTACCTGCCAAGATCAGAAATTCAACTAATGGTCTGCTTACAGAACAGAGTATCTAACGACCCGGTCATCCCATCATGGACCAGGAGTCAAAAACGGGGCTGGGGGAAGCATACAAAAAAATTAGTGTTTGCACATAGACCATGTAATGTATTTATAGCGTATCTAACGCCATGCGCAAGACCGTAATTGGGAAGGAAACCCCACCGACCAGCGCAGACGGACTGAGCAGGCGCCTCGGCGGCGCCGGTGCGGCCTCCAGCATCGCCCCAGAAGGCGGTGCGGGGCCCCTCACGGCGGGGACCATCTCCCCAAAGCACCCGGGGGAAACAAAACCCCACCGCGTCACGAAAAAAAAAACCCCGGCGCAACAAAACCCCCGAACCGAAGCCCAGCC